CTATCCAATCATGGACAGGGATAACCAAAAAAAAAAAAAACATCCTAGACGAGAAAATGGTTTGGTTGGAGTGTAAATATGTGTGTCAAATGAGGTGCATTTGTAAAGTCTTTTTACACCCACCCGACAACCAACTGCTATGCAATACTACTGTCTGATTATCAATTTGTATTTAATGGTGAATGTAGTCTGATGCCATGACCAATATTTATCAATTGAGTTTCAGTGGGGGGTCGGGGGTGGCTTGGTGGGTTGGAAAAAAACTAAAGGAATTTTTATCCGACATCGATCTTTTGGCGGCGTCCCTAAAGCAGTGTGGAACAAAAAATAATTTTCCCATTCGTTAAACATTTACTGTAGAAATAAATTCTTACTGTATGTAAAATATGTCTCATTAATAATTATGCACAACACCCAGTTATCAATATGTATGATTAGAGGTTTATATATAAGTTATCACACATGATGTCAATGTCAGTAGGATAAAGCAATGCACATTATAGGAAACAAACTATTAAAGTAGAAAAGAAAACTCTTATAAACACAGTAACCTGCTTTTGTGAGATTGTGATAATTAATACACAATTAGGTTCATGAAATACATGTACAAGGAAAAATCAGATCGAGAGAAATTGAATGAAATAAAATGTTAGTACACTGATAGGTTAAGTACACAGATAAGTTGTTTTGGAAGCAAACAGATATTTTCACCGCCTGGAAACCACAACCGATGAAAACAACGGTTGCAAACTGAAAAGTAAAATGTTAGTTTGGGCTAATTGATAAGATCATCCTGAACAGTGTAATAAGACTACTCTATATATATCAAATTTTGCTGTTTAAGGTTTGTCTCATCGTTGAGTTTGTGCTGTTTTCTCGACTCATTTTAAGACACTCTCCATGGGATTGCTTATAACTTGATATAAGACAATCGCCTAATTTTTTTATAAAAAAATGGCATACTAACAAACTACATTAAGAAAAGGGTGAATAGATTGGAAATATTATGGATGGACTATGGATGAACTCCTTTAAATACCAGCTTAACACACTGGACACTGACCAGGTCATTAGCATTACGTAATACTAACAAACAGACTGAAATACAGAGAGTAGACAATCAAACATTTAAAAGTAAATGTAGTAAGAGAAATTCAGAAAAAAACACATTAATTTGTTAGTAAACACTACATTGATGAACATGCATACAAAATGAGGTGAGCAAAACAACTAACAGCGCAATACCTAGATTGCAAAACAGTATACAGTATATGGAATTTAAGTATTTGTGTGTAATAACGTTAAACATTTAGAAAAATTAAGCCTGAAACTTCAACAATGAAAAAATGTACTTAACAAGAGCTATGTATAAGGTTAATGCAGAAATTTCATTATCATTCATATTAATAGAAACAAACAATAAATTTAACAGAATATTAAAAGATATATTCAAAGATGCGTTACACCATTTGAACTAAGTGACCTGAAATTTCCAGGTAATACTTGCTTGAAAATTCTGGTTAATAGCAAAAGTGACATACTTTCATGCAGTTAAATCTGTGAAGGATAGAAGAAGCTCAGATAGAGAAAGACAATTGTTATTACTATGAAATGAAGACATTGAGTAGAGAATTTTAACGATATTAACACAATATAGAAACAAAATTAATAGAAATAAATAAACAATATAATTACCCTTATATGTTAATATCAAAACAGAGATTAACAAGAGATAGAAAATGTTTAACGAAAAAAAATAATACAATAAAGTTGATAATAAAGACTGAAGTGAATGGGGTTGAAGGGTTACTGTTGATCCAGTGTGGTCATAACCAGGTGGTTCAAAGATGAAGCGACATCGCAGTCATGTCAGAGTGATGGTGTTTCCCAAACTCATCATGACCTGCAATGATGTAGATGGTTAGTTACAGTTGATAATTTTAGATTTTGTAATTGCATTGAAATGATTTTAGATTTTGTGATTGTATTTAAACAACTTTAGATATTTTAATTGTGTTCAAACAATTTTAGATTTTGTAATTGTATTCAAAAAATAATTTTAGATTTTGTAAATGTATTCAAACAACTTTAGATATTTTAATTGTATTCAAATGATGATTTTATAATTGTATTCAAAAAATAATTTTAGATTTTGTAATTGTATTCAAAAAATAATTTTAGATTTTGTAAATGTATTCAAACAAGTTTAGATTTTTTAATTGTATTCAAACAAGTTTAGATTTTGTAATTGTATTCAAACAATAATTTTAGATTTTGTACTAAACTGCATTGAAACAATTTTAGTTTTTGTGATTGTATTCATATAATTTGAGATTTTTTAATTGTATTCAATTTTGTACTTTTCATTCAGTGTATCAAGAGGTGGTTGGAAGATTCTGGGATTCTGCAGGCCACAACTGTTATATGACTATGATTATATGACTAACCTGTGTTGATTTCCATTGAAGATGTTTCACCACGATGATTGTCAGCATTTATTGAAGTTACATTAATCGTTTCCAGGTTTCCTGGGTTGTTGTAATTAATGCATTTACCACTGTATTCATGCTGATCATTATCAATGTATGGAATGCTACCATTTTCTGCAGTTCCACCTTCTGAACATTCGACAGTATAATAAGCTACAGCTCCCCCAGGATTTGTCCATGTTACGGCAATACTAGTAGTGGTGACATACTCAGAATCTTTAGTCAAAGTTATTGCATTGGATTCTGAAAGAAGTAAATGATTTAATCATCACTAGACTGAAAGCAGCAATAACGTTTAATACTCAAAAGACAATATGTTTTGTATTAGGTGTAAGATTGTTGATGGCATCTTACCTGTATGTATCTCCATCATTGATGGTTCACTTTCAGATCCAGTGGTGCTGAGATCTCCACTCACTGCAGTAACTGTGATGGTTTCTAATTTTCCTGCTGTCTCATACCCAGTACATTTAGCACTGTAAGTGTCTGTACCATTCACATAATCTACACGTGAATCCTCTGCTGTACCACCAGATGAGCATTCTACTGTATAGTACGTCACTTCGTCTCCAGAATTACTATTCCATGTTACAGCTATTGTATCATTGGTGATATTATCATCATCTCTTTCAAGACGCACCTTGTTTGGTTCTGATCAAACACAATGAAATAAATAATAATTATTTGTGCTGTTTTTAGTTCTCCAAAATTTTGTCAACCTCAGGTTTGTTTTTTTGACCAATGGTTTGCCAATGATCACCTACTACCATACATAACACACATATTAGTTTCTAAAGGTTCTAACTGCATTGCTTATTATTCAGTCATGGTTTGATACACAATTATGTTTTTTGATTTGCTATGAAATATTTCGAAGATGAAGTTGACCTGTTTGATGTTTTTGATGAGATGATTAGCACTTTTTAAAAGGTAAAATAAGTACTGGAAGAATTTTAACAGCATTCATGAAGATAAAATTTATTTTACCCATAGCGCAATAAATTCGCTTCTATTTGTATAATGCTATCTCCATTCATGGTAAGTATTACTCTTATACAACATGCAAGCCAATCAGTGGGAAGTAAAGCCCTTTAAAAGTGGGAGCACAGCTTAGTGTAGGCAGATTGACTCACTTTGACAACACCAACCCACGATTCCTATGTGACCCCAGGGGCTCCCAGTGGCACAGATTAATTAAGCGCATATATGTACCAAGTTTAAATAATGTACAGTAAAGGAACAATTTTTTTGACCAATGTAAACTTTAATACCAAAATTTTAATTTAGTTTCCATAAAAGTAGCTTGGCAACATGAAATATAGAAAATATTGTCACATGATTAATATTTTCACTGCAAACAATTTATAATCTCATGCAAAGTAATTCATGGGGTGGGGCTACGTCACAGAACATTCTGTGTTGCTAATTAAGACATGCATCACTGTACCATGTTTCACTATAGACTAGTGCAAACCTCTGTGGACCGTCGGTGAAAACAGCTAAAGTCATGAAAGTAATCTTTAGCAACCAAATGTATGTATGTTTTGTTACACAGTTCAGAGGAGTCTCAACAACTAGCCCAATATACAGTTTTCTGATAGTTTTTGATTTTTGTTTGTTTTGTTTTGTTTTTTGATGTTTGTTTGCCAGGCAGTGAAAATGTCTGGATGTTCGCTCCCGAGAAAATATATGGACACCAAAATCCTATGTATGTAACTTGTAACACTACAATTCAATACAACACATTCAACACAACAGATCCATATAACAATTTTTCTACTCATATTTATACCATAGCATGTAATAATACTTACTTGTATTCATAGAAGTCACTGCTGGGTCACTCTTACTGTTTCCACTCACACTGGTTACTGTTATACTATAAAGACCACCGGGTGTAGCTAATGCCGTACACTGTGCTGTCATTTCTTTATCTGGTGTGTGTGTTACATTCGCAGATGGTGTACCGCCATCAGGACATCCAATTTCATAATGATTGATATTACCACCTGGGTCAGTCCACTTCACTCCAATAGTGGTATTTGTTACTAAGTTATCATTACGAACTGGATCAGCCTGGTTTGGAACTGAACAAAGCGAGAGATACAACAGTTTGAAAAAACAAACAACAAATGACACAATATATTTCCTGTATAAAATGACTTCACATTTGCATGCAAAAACATGCATCTAGTTCTCATGCAGTACCCTCACGCCAAAACTGAACAATTTTTGTTTTTTTGCATCAATAGGATTATATGCATGCATGATTCAAGCCACCCCTAACTGATACCTCAACAGTTTAGAAGTTTTCAATTAGTATACAGCATATAAGGGTGTGATGAATGTCCATTTATATGTGAATTAAACGACTTATTTCGTTAGAAACAGATTCTATTGTATGAGCAGGTAAGAAATGTTCTCTCCTGTAGCCTGAATAGATTACATCAGTAGAGTGGTGTTACAACTCTTGCTGTAGTAATAATCAAAATGACAGAAATAATGCAAACTGGAACCAGTACATTTGAGCATTCATTAAAATAAAATGGCCATCAGTCAGCCATTCTGAATTCAATCTGTAATATACCTAAGCGCATACACCACTGATTAAGCAATACAGAGTATTTCAATAATATCGGCAAAAAAAAAAATGACAAAAATTTGTTTTGACCATAAAAACAGCATTTTCATAAAGATTGTGCACTACTTTTTACAGTATGCTACTTGTATTTGCTCTTTTAGCCTTTTCACCACCAGTTCCCTTTTTTTCATCAAAAAATCACAAAATAGTTTATAGTCTGTTTATTCTTCAGAAGATTGAGACAAAAAGAGCAAAATCTTTTTTGAGTAAAAACTGAAAATTGACTCTAATTTTGTCTGTTGGCTCCAAAAAATATTGAAGAATTTAAGAAAAAAGTGCAGAATAATCTGGGTGAGACATTCTGGTGATGAAAAGGTTATAACTGAAGCTTCAATAACAACTTTAGTTTGTAGGTTAAATTTGAGCAGCGCAATATATAATTGCCAAAACATGCAATTATGTAAAACCCATGTACATGTATGTACTTCTACTAGAGCAGATGTTTAATAAAACTACAATGGACTAAACATACATATAAGCATATATCAGGAAAATAGTACAAGTTTATTAGGAGTGTATTTCCAATAGAAGTGTACAATAAAAAATGTCATTCATTGAGCACTGGATCATTATATTGATCTCAATGCCATTCATGTCAGTGCATGCAACTTGTATAGGTAATACATTATTCCAACATAATAGACATTTCAAGCAAAACTCTTCACCAGTAATTTCTAAATAAAATAGAGATGGTTAATAACATATTTAGTACAGGATATTAAGACATGTTAAAAAACACAGACAAATTTTGCTTGATATTCTGATAGTTAGAGAGTTAATGAACCATATGATAAAATTAGATATTTAACACACATGATGACATAACCAGGATGACTCTCACTATTAGACATTTGTAACAGGACACACCAATAAACACATGAATCTGAACCAATGTTATTCCATTAGATGATGATAACTTTGATTAATCTGCAAAGACTCAGATTGTTAGTACACATATATCAGTTAAAAGCATATTTTGCAAAATGAACTATACAATGGCAGGTTTGCTGATCTCTACTGTAAATAATTATTCACTGTGTTTTAATTAATTTCACTAATTTCGTTCAAAAAATATATTAAATTGAAAATTAAATACGCATGAACCAAAATATTGTATATGTGGATGTGGAGTTTAAAATCCAGTGGACATATTCAAAATATGAATATAGTGATATTAAATAACACAAGTGAAAATGAACTCTTTTACAGTACACACTTCTATTCTACACAGCACATAATCAATCAATCTTTAATAATCACATAATCAATTCATCATAATATTTTGAAGATACCACACTGATCAATGTAGGAAGCATCACATTCATTAACATGTCAAAACCTTTACAACTAACGACAAATAATTCGGCTCATACTGGAATGAGTCATATTTTTTGAATATTAGTGCTAATATTGATTATGATGTATAACAAGACCACACCAGAGGTGGATCCAGGCTTACTGCCACATGTGCTGAGGAGGTAGTCAGATTCGCAAAAAAGTACCAAACACTGTAGAAATTTTCCAGAAATTGAATCAAATATTTCAGTCCTGGTGGTTTCAACCCTGGATCTACCGCTACACACATCACATAAATCAAATTGAATGGAAAACACACATTATATGTGAGTATATATATTATACAAAAATCTTACTTGTGTTTATTTCCATTGTTGATGGTTCACTTTTTGATCCAGTGGTGTTGAGATCTCCACTCACTGCAGTAACTGTTATAGATTCTAACTTTCCTGCTGTCCCATACCCAGTACATTTAGCACTGTAAGTGACTGTATCATTTACATAATCTACAGTTGCTTCTTCTGCTGTACCACCAGATGAACACTGCACTGTGTAGGTATCTACTATATCCCCTGAATTACTACTCCATGTTACAGCTATTGTATCAGTGGTGATCTGACTATCATCTCTAGCAAGAGTAACACTGTTGGGTTCTGAACAAATGCAACCATACAAACAAAAATTGTAAAGTGATTATCAACAGTTAAAGTCATGGTTTATTTTTCAGCAGTACAATGAATTAAATATATCAAAAATAAAAAGCTGAAAAAA